AGAAAAGGGATACTAGTTAAAGGCACTTCTAAATAATCCTAGTTCGGTATAGCTAAATAGTATATGATAGATAGCTTATTTTGATCACAATAGCTAAGATATTAATAGTTGTAACTTATATTATATACTGCGGAACTATTTACTTAAACTAGTTAGTTCCTCCGTATATATAGACCTAATGCTAAGCTTAATATTATTCTATATTATTACGGTTCTGGAAGATAGTGGGGCCACGATAGACTAATTAGGGCTGGACCGAGCGAGCGAGCGGGGCTCACGGTCTAAGCGGACGGAACGGACTAATAAGATAAGGACCGGGGACCGCGGCGGGGCTTACGGTCCACGGTCCAATATCGGCCAATTAGGAGTGGACCGAGGACCGTCTATAAGTTAACGGTCCACGGTTCACTAATCTATATATACGGAGGAACTAGCTAGTATAGATATATAATTCCGCAGTATGTAATTACAAATCACAATCGTAGTATCTTAGTTATTATAATTAAAACATTTTATTGTGCACTATTTAGCTACACCGAACTAATTATCAGAAGTTACTTTTAACTAGTATCCTTTTTAGAGGTTTTATACAGGGATTCGTTACACGAACTAATTAAAGCTAGACTAAGCGATTAAGCGGGGCTTACGGTCTAAGCGGACGGAACGGACTAATAAAATAAAAACCGGGGACCGCGGCAAGGCTTACGGTCTACAGTCTAATATCGGCTAATTAAGAGTGGACCGAGGACCGTCTATAAATTAACGGTTTACGGTCCTAAAGTTTATATATATAAAGAAACTAATTAATATAAATAAATAGTTCCGCAGTATATAATATAAATTACAATATAACGAACCCCTATACAGAACTTCTAAAAGGGATACTATATTACAACCTGCACCAGGAATAAATATAAACTGCAAAGTAATACGCTAGAAGTAAATATAATAGGATAATCGAAGGTTATAATAAGCGTTTTAGATAAGGGGTTCACTATTAATAATAGATTGTTCTATAAAAAATTACTTAAAAGTAAATTATAAATAAATAAACTTAATTACTTACGTAAAAAATTAGATTCCTTAATACGGAGAGCGCTAGGCGTTCCCTCCTATTTATATATAGCTATCTATATATATTTCTAAAATATCTTTATACCTTACTTAATATACTTAATAATCTTAGCGGCTAAGCAAACTAAATAATTTTTTATAATCGATATATTTAATATACTTAATAGTCTTAATTACTAATTAAACTAAGCACCTCCTAATTAGTCACATAGGGACTTTATGGGTTTTCCTATCCCTAGCCTAATGATTAGCTAAAGTATCCCAGCACCTCGGGAACCACCTAGTAGTTCCTTTACAGGGTTATTATATTTAGGGCGTAATATACTAGTTAAAAGTAACTTCTAACAATTAGTTCGGTGCAGCTAAATAGTACACAATAAGATATCTTAATATAAATACTAAATACCGTAAATACAAGCTAAATTACATACTGCGGAACTATCTATCTACACTAGCTAGTTCCTCCGTATATATAGACCTTAGGACCGTAAAGTGCTTACCCTGCTATAGCCCCGATCACCCCTAGCACATTACATCCTGCAACGTGCTCGTCGTGCTATGCCTCTAATCACCCTTAGTATCTTGCATCCTGCAGACTGCTCGTAAGCCTTAGCGCCATAGCACTTTTGTCCTGGCCTAATTAGCTTGTTCCCTAGCTTCCTTAATGATTAGCTAGGGGCGACCTACGCCCTACATATAGCGCGACCTGCCGTTAGGTTAACTGTAACACACAATCGTAGTATTTGAACTATTGTAATTGAGCTATTTTATTATATATTATTTAGTTACACCGGACTAATTATCAGAAGTTACTTTTAACCAATATCCCTTTCAAAGGTTCTGTACAGAGGTTCGTCATACTTCTCTCTTTAACTAAATAAACACTTAAATTAAAAGCTATTTAGGCAGAGATTAATATAAGCAGCGAAGGTAAACTTATTACTCCTAAATACTTCTTAAGCAACAAGCTTCAGCCTATTAGATAGCTATGTCCGTTAACCCATCTAAAACCCTGTATTATAGGTTCTATTTTAGGTGCTATTACTGCCTGGTTATCTAGTGTCTCCCTGCTCGTAAGTCCTATGCTATTTATTTTGATACTATTGCCCTATAGTTAAATATCTTATAATCACTCCTAACTTTATATTTTACCGCAGTATCGTAACTAACTGTAGTCAAGTACTTACAACACTAACATGTCTTGGCAGATTGTAACAGGTTTCCCCTCTTCTATAGTCGATGTCCCAACGACCGTACTTAGTCGTGTCTGTCGTCATCGTCGTCGTCAAGCCAAGAGACGGTACCATTCGAATGCACGTGGTAATAACGTCCGCTCTTTACGTCCTTCTTCCAGTAGTTCTTATACTTGTGCCTGGAAGAACTGGCTGACGATTCCTGCGAGGATGAGGTCTTTTGTTTTTGTTCGCTACTGGCGGTGGAACTATGTGTGGATGAAGGAGCCTTCGACGAGTGCGGCGTCGAGTGCGAGTGGTGCGAATGGTGAGAGTGCTTCGTGCTTATTTTGTGCTTGGATGACGTAAGCGGCGTCGGCTGGTGAATAGGCTGGTGTTCGACGACTTTATAGTCGTCTTCGTTGTCGTATACGTGCAGTGGTTCGGTGCCCGGTACGGGCAAGGTTGGCACCACTTCGGCGATAGGGTGGAGGCCGCTACTACGCTGCTTGTAGTGCTCCTTCAACTGGTCCTTCAGAGCATACGACTGTTCCCTGGCGTAGTCCTGGGCGTTCCTGAGTCCCTTCGGCCCTCCTTATGTTCTCCATGAGAGTTAACTAAACTCGTCGACTTAATAGGAAACTGGTGATACTCGAGCGTGCCGTCTTCTGATTTAGCCGCATAGTGTGCAAAGAAATTAATGTTCTTGCCGTTCGTAGTGAATGTCGTAATTTCGGCGTGACCAGGAGGGTCAGATTTTCTTATGTAGGAAAGAGCTTGGTTCCTTGCGTGGACCAGGGCTGCTCCGTTATATCGGCTCTGCAGCTCTGCTTCTCTTATGTCTCCCGCGGGGCCCTTCCACTCTCCCGCTATATGTGGCAGCGTCACGGAACCTGGGTCGTCTTTATAAAGAACGGCTCCGGCGATATACTCGTCGACTGGGAACGGGAGGTACTCCTCCATCTCGAGTCCCTCCACGAAGTCGGGCTGTGGAGTAGATAAGCCATTATTGAAGCCGACATTTTTTGGATAGCCCGTAAATGCCTGGTTAAATTCTCTCGCATAGCCCTCGTCGTCGTACTCCTTCAACAGCCTCCTACTGGTCTCGATGACCATGGTTGTTTCGTTCCTGGCTTGCCCGGCCCTCTTGGTGTACTGCTTGTACACAGACTCGGGTGGCGAGGCTGACTCGCGGGACCGGGCGTGTCGTTCGTGGAGGTCTTGGAGGTTTGTGGGTGGTTGGGAGTGTCGTGGTTCGAGAATACCATTCTTTCGGGCCTGGATAGCGAAACCAGACGCCGTTGTGGAGATGGTCTTCGTCGATCCCGAATCGTCCGAGGGGTCCGAGGGCTGCTTCTTGCCCATCTTGTTGAAGCGTGCGAGGTTCTGCCGTGTTAATCGCGCTCGCTTTGTCCGTGGTTCGGCGTCGTCGTCGCTGTCTAGCTGTCGTTTTCGTGACGGTGGATTTGCTGGATCCTGCTCTTCTTGGGCTGGCGGAAGCTCAGCTTGCGAGAGCTCCGGTGAGGTTTGTTTCTTATCCATGGTGAAGTGGGGAAGAGGAAAAGGCTGGGTGTCGGGGTGGTCAGCCGAATGGGTCTTGTATGCAACACTTCGTTGTCGCAGGATTTGTTTTCGGTGCGTTGTTCATTGGGTGCGACGGAATTTAGGCAGTAGTTGGGGGCCAAATGCCTATGATTGGTTCTCCGTGATCGTCCAATGAGGTGGTAGGGTTAGCGCCGCGCACCGCGTCGGGGGCGTCTTTGTCAGTTGGTGATATTGTGCCAGGATCTATCTGAATCAACCTGCCCGCACACAATCTCGGATTTACCTCTAATGATGGATTCACACTCATGGACAAAAACTGGAATTAGCGCCTATGCCCCGATGCTCAGACCGGGCAAGAGACTGGCATTTGAAGACAATATCGGTAAACCGCCGGGCTGGACCCCCTTATACGACAAATCATACTGGCTCAGGCCAGGGTCGAGGAGGGACGGCCGAATAGTTTCTCGTCTCAGCCACTGTTTGACTCCCTTGAACCACATGCTCAACCTGACAGCAACAAAGCTCTTTTCGTGTTACTGGACACGTTGTTCAACCGTTTTCCAGACCAGTATTTCTTGAAGGCTCTGTTGACCTGGACTCTTTACGCCGCCCGGCCTCTCACAATCGCAGAGCTCTCAACTGCAATGCAATTGGATTCGGATAATCTTTCTTCGGGCTTCGAAAGTGTAGAGGAAGCAAGACGAAGCCTCGAAACAAATCTTGCTGGGATCTTCGAAATCGACCACAACGAGGTGAAACTGGCCCATCCACGACTAAGAGATGTTCTGATGACCATTGGCGGTGACGATTCAGGCTACCTCTGGGACAAAGTCCGGAAGTCTGCGCATCCAATAATTGCTACGGCCTGTCTCGACCACCTATGTCTCCCAAAAGTGCAGGAATTCCTGGCACCAAAAGCGGGCCAAGCAAGAGAACTAGAGTGATACCTCCCTACGGATGGCAGCATGTGCTCATATGCTCTACGAGCGTGGGTTCATCATCTGGCGCAGGTTTCCAGTTTGCGGACCCGACAGTCGGTCCTCAAGAGGGTTGTTGGCAGAGAGATTGGTAATACTTTGACCGGAGGCTATTGGGCTTATTCCAACCCCGTGACACGAAGCGTTCAGCCACCGAAAGCACTGCTCACTCTATTTGCTAGTCATAGGATGATTGATGTGCTGGAGCCTTCAGACCAGAATGGTGCAGTCCCCGCGTTGCTGGAAGGAGCACATGAAGGCCATCGTCATGTGGTAAGAGATATACTGCACACATTCGACCTTTCTAGCGACGTGCTGATCAACACCCTGTCTGCCGCTGAAGCCTCTGGGAACGAGACATTGCTGATTGAGATCGTGGACCATATACTTGCGAGGTATTCCACAGATTGCGGTAGCCTCTGGCCAGCAGACGTAATGCGCAGGGCATCCTGTCTTGGTCTAGATCGCTTTCTGGACAAGATGCTCACCCTTGGCTGTCCGGTGGAAACTGAAGCACAGGTGATGACCGAACCGAGGCCCATTTCGTTGCTGTACCAGGCTGTCTGGAACTCGCAAAAGAAAGCCGCAAGGGTTCCATTGCAACATGGTGCGAATATCAACTACAATACCATCCAGGACAATACAGCAATGCACCTTGCTGCACGCAATGGAGACGCCGACATGATAAAAATGCTTATCGAAACAGCAAAGCCTAACCTCGAGGGTACCAGCAATGAGGGTAGCACCCCTTTATACCAGGCTTGCACCTGGGGACACCACAAAGTTGCCGAGCTGCTTCCGCATGCTGGAGCTGATCCAAACATGGGTCACCAGAAAGGGGAATGGTCTCCACTAGCATCGGCAACCTACGAGGGGCATCAAAGATGCGTAGAGCTATTGCTTCAGAATGGAGCCGATCCTAATTCCTCGAGTCCAAAGGGATCCGCACTTTTCTGCGCTGCAGCCTGGAGTCACACAAATCTTTGTCAAATACTACTTGAAGCTGGGGCAAAGCCAAACAATCCAGATGATGAGACCCCAATCATCATAAACATTGCATGCTCTTCCACCAACAAAACAACCCTTCTCGACACCATGAGGCTACTTGTTGGAAAGGGCACTAATGTCGATTCCCAGATATCCTCTTCAGGGATGACCGCTTTGATGTGTGCCGCCTATAACACCAGCGGCCCACAGGCAGAAATCGTTAATACACTCTTATCTCGCAACGCCAACGTCCAGTATATAGATAAGAATGGAGATCCTGCCCTTTATCATTTTGTTACAGTAAAAGGTTCCAACCCTCGTGCTTTGGAACTTCCACTTTAATAGAGCGCAAATACCAACTACTTAAATCTCGATCAAAAAAACAGGATCTTATATAGTACTTTTTAAAACTAACACCCTGAATTTATCCGTATCCTTCTGGAAATAGCGTAGACCCAAACCTACGAGTAAAGGTTCCGCTTACGCCTCTAATATTAACTACGGCTAACCGGTATAATACTAGTTTGGACTTACTGCTGGAATATAGTGTATTAGTTAATTAAACTGTAGAGCTTGTAGATAGGTATCTAAAAGGCTGGATAGTGATAGCTTTTACTGTTAAAATCGGAATAGTTTATGGAGTTAGATCTCTGGCGGAACACGGAGCTAACCTCGGCTGGACGGGCCCCTTAAACGACTATAAGCCGCTGCTTATAATGGCTATATTCCATAACGATATCGAGATTATAAGTGCTCTGCTAAAGTTTCCCACTAAGATTGACTTGGATACTACAGATAATGACGGCTAGGCTCCTCAGCATGTCATGAGAACGGACATGGTCATATACAAACGACTTGTCAACACTGGTGCTCATATTGACCTGATTAATGACCAGGCTATGGCTACGCCTCTTGGGCGAGCGTCTGAGGCGGGAGACATCGAAAAGGCAACGTATCTCCTCAAGCGGGGAGCACAGGTCGATAAAGGCCCATCCCTATTATGGTTCACCTCTGATAGCGCCCTGCCGTCCCACATCTGACTTTGATATGGTGAAACTTCTCGTGGAACACAAGACCAATGTCAATTAAGCGTCTGATGTCCTGTACGGTGTGCCTCTATCGGCAGTGTGTCTGGGGTATGAGTCTGATGACCCAGGCTACAATTCTGGAACGAGTGACAAGATTTTGCACTACCTCCTTGAGCACGGTGCTGACAAACGCACCAGGAGGTTTATTTGGGTACACCATCATTGCCGCCGCATACAACGCACCGAGTCGTATTATAGACCTCCTTCTACAGAATGGAGCTAAACCTGACGTGAGGAATAGCATGGGTCGCTCACCGATACATATGGCCGCAGGTTGTGAAGGTATTGAAAATATTCAAGCGCTTCTTCGAGCCGGGGCTGACATCAGAGACTACGGACGGTCGTGATCGAACGGTACTACGAGTTGGGCAGCAACGGCAGGCCGTGCATCGGTCTGTAGAAATGGCACTCCTTTCGTGGACGGCCAGATCGATGCTCGTTACGGCCAGCTGACTCTGGACGGTCATGGACTACCTCTTTGCTGGGACAGCCCGCGGTACAGAATCCTGGCTGGACGATATGAACCCAGGGGAACCTGGAGATCAGCTCAAGGTGACCAGCCTACTTCTGAAGCATGGCGCAAACCAATCCGTCGTTGTGTTTTTGGCGATCAAAAATGGACACCCATAAAGATCGCTAGATTCTCTCGGGTTGTGCAAAGTGACGTTATTCAGGTCTTGTGCAGTGGTCTCCAGGAAGATCTTGGTCCAATACTCGAAGGGGAGGAGCATGCCAGTGAAAAGGGATTCGAAAGAGAAAGCGTGTACGACTGTTGCCTGTGCGTAAGTTACCTGAGCTACTGCCTTGGCACCTCACATACATTTTACTACTCCTTACTCCTTCATGGTCTACACGATTTATTCTAACATTGATCTTCATACTATAGACAATCCGCGGGTACCAATACAATTACAAAACAGGTCTGGAGTTTTGCTTTTGTTTCAAAGGCTATCCAAATCGGCACCTCATACATGCACAGGAACACGAGTTTGAAAAGGTAGGGCCTGGGTTTGAAGTAAAGGAGGATGCTGGAGGCGGTCAGGAGGTATCATACAGGAGCACACCTGAGACTAGTGACGATGAATCAGAAGATGAGTACGGCGGACTTAAAGGGCTTAGGGCTTAGCCGGTAGATAGCTGCATAAAATGCTTGGTAACACTCCAAAGAGTCATGCCACGAATCTTTCCTCCCCAGATCATCACAAAGCAATGATTCCGGTGAAAAAAAAGAGCAAGTCTCCCAGAAGGGAGAGAGAAGGTTCCAAAAATATCAACAACTTGGCTATGATACACTACACCACCAACAGCTTCAGTCACCCATCCAAGATCCACCCAACTGCCCCCCACACTCGCATACACTATCCAAGATACATATCCAAGTATGTGAAAGACCGCCAGGTTTCTCGCCTCTTACCAAGACACTTAGAGAGGTCAAGGCTCAAGTGATGGGGACCAAGAACCATGAGTAGAAAAAGAAAGGAGAGGGAAGTTTCTGACAGGAGAATTTATTTTATACTTGGATCAGGGCGCTCAGTGCACGCTCGCCGATTTCAGAGAGAGTGCGTTTTGTCTGTGCTTTTGTCAGGCAGCAACTCAATGACATCGCCCGGACCCGCGTGGTGTTGGCATTGAGACATCTGAGTGGTTGATGAGTGACAGGCGCGGGTCTCTGAAGCCAGGCAACGAGGAAGGCGATGACTGCGGCCCAGCCGAGGAGGATGCCAGGGCAATACTGGAGAACATTCTGGAAGGGGCCACACGCGATGAAGAGAGTGCAAGTGAACTTTCACCTCACCATCGGTCTACAGATGTTGACCCAGGGTAGTTTTGAGTAAAGAGCACTTCAAGGATTTATTTGGTATTTGAAACGAAGAGGGGGTCGGCATCTTGTGTGCGGATGTGTGCGGATGTGTGCGGATGTGTGCGGATGCGTAATTCAATGGGGCTTCATACCAAGAGTCTTAGTTCCGCCATTGGCTTTGAGGATGCGGCCCGAAAGGAAGTCTAACCAGAGTCTTTGCCATCTCAAAGCAGCAAAATAACCGGCCAGGGCAGATTCTCCAGACATTCAACAAGCTCCGCATCGGGCCAGCAGACCTTTTTCTCAAGACATCAAAATCGACCCGATCTTCCCAGATGTTTGGTTCTCTCCGACGCCAGTGGCTATGTCTGGTCCCAAACTCAATTCCATCTTCCGAAACTCGACCCCGTTTTGATCCGGGGATGATGTCAACAACACAGCAAGAACAACATTTCCAGCAGTCGTCCCTCGTCATGGACCCAGTTGACCGGAGTCCGCATCGATTGCAGCTTCACCTGACTGGATATCCAGGCAAGATCCTCGAATGGTCCCACTGAGTCTGTCTCAACTCTAACGGAACACTTCGCAGGTCCGAAAACATCCTCAAACCGCAGATAAGAACCCCATCCTCCGCCCAAAAAGTTCTGCCGTGATCTCCAGACCATTCCTCTCGTTTACCAAGCTAGACGAAGCTGTTCCCAGGGTGCTCACCCCTCTCTCTTGTCCTCGGCTGTTTTTCACTCTTTTATATCAGCACAAGGAGCCCACGCATCAATCATGCATCTCCTCCCCCTGCTCCTCTCAGGAGCATGCTACTCCACCATTGTCGCCGCCGCGGCCGCCCCCGCGGCGACGGTATCCCCCCTCCCCGCCTTCAACAAACAAGACCTGAACGGGCCCGAGATCTGGGGCTCGTACAATGAAATCGAAGACTGCGAGATGCACCAAGCCATCGAGTGCCTCCACGACCAAATCTGCGCCCGCCGCAACGTGCCCATCTACGGTAAGATCCGCTGCACCATCGGCAGCTCGGTCGCCTACCTCTGCAACTACCGCAAGAAGGGCGACAAGTTCGAAGACGAGATCGAAGCCGTCGTCCGCGAGGGTAACCGCAAGAAGGAGGGCGGCGAGCTCACCTGTGACCATCGCGAGATGTACGAGGCCTGGAGGCAAATACGCATTGCCAAGGGGTCCCACACGGGCTGGTGGTATGACGGCAAGGGAAAGAAGACGTACGGGTTTGACAGGCGGTGCAAGGACGGGGAGTGCGACAACGGGTGGATGACGGGGAGCGAGTGGGAGCAGTGCACGAATATCAAGAAGAGCAATAACGACTGGCTGTTTGACTATGAGGCGCCCGAGTACCTCAATTACACGGGGAGGTTTGAGCAGCACTTGCCTGATCCGGCGAATGATTTCGAGCCGGTGTACTTCAACCCTTGGTATGAGGGGAAGAGGCCGAAATGACGATTCACGTTCTTTGTGAAGAAGTTTGGAGAGCTGCTCAAGAATACTTTTCTGGACGCGGTGGAGCGGGCGTGGGGGCTCAAGGCGCTCAAGAGGAAGAGGGCGAGGGAGAAGATGGAGAAGGAGCTGTTTGAGCAGTTCAAGGGGGAGAGGGAACTGTTTGAGCAGTGGAAGGAGGAGAGGGCGAAGAAGGAGAGGAAGGCGGGAGCTGAATGAATGGGGGAAAAAAAGGTGAAGCTGAGGAAAGGGGTATGTGTATTTGGTTGTAGTTGGTGATTGTACAAAGACTTGATGATTGATCTACTTATGACCATTGTCATCGGATGATTGAATATACATATCCAACATATCTGATTCAGGGACATTCAGTCAACATCGCATGACATTGCATTTAATGCAAGCACGAGGTTATAAGTCGGCATGGCCAATCAGCGGACGTAGCCATGATAAGCTGTGTGGCCTAATCTTATCAATCTTGCCCATCTTATCATCGCCAGCGCCAAGCCACCCATCGTTGATCAACAGAAGTGAACCCTGTTCAGCCACGCCGGCCGCGGAAGCATTCCTCCGGTCGTCTAGCCCGGAATCTCGATTGAGCGATCTCTTTGTGCAACGATATCTTTACCTCGTTGTGCTTGTTCGACTCTTGTTGAGGGAAAACAAAAGCCTAGAGCTTGGTCCCCGGCAGTTGTCCAGGCCAAGGTAGCTGCCAAGACATCTGGCGCCACCTGGTGGGGCTCTCCTCGCAATCATAATGTCATCACTTTTTCCCTTCAACTCTGCCACTTCTGGGCCACTTTCAACCACGGCGGCAACCACAGATCGATGCGAATGCGGCTCCATCCCGCTCTCCCCATTCCCCTTCTCCATGAGAGGACGCCCCGATCGGGGTTTGCCCCTGCACAGGGTAGCATCGCCGGAACAGAAAATGGGATGACGACTTCGACATACCGTCCATATTTTCGACTACCTGCAGATCGTGCGTCATGACCTCAAATGTCTTTGAAGGACAGCCTCTCCTTTTCCAGGAAATCTCCGCCGGATTGGGCGGGGACACCGGAATGGGAAGATCAAGTCGATGATGGGACGGTTAGAAATCTCTGAGCAGGGCATACACACCGACGGCCTGATTTCCGGCTCAAGGCTCCGACAGCTTGGGCCGCGTGGAGGTTATAAGATCAGATTCACCCTCCTGACCACTGTGTTGCTCCACGCTGTGATACATCAGACACTGCTCACACATCTGGCAAGCCGTCGGTCGCAAACATGGTCGCCTACAAGCTCTCCGCGGGCACTGCCCTGCTCTCTCTAACTGTCCGGTCTTTGGCAGTTCCTGTCGTCTCCGAGCCAACCACCACTTTTACCGCGACACCCGCCTTCACTCCTCCCGTCAGACCACACAGCAATGTTACGGATCACGGCCCATACACCGGGCCACCACCCACCACCACTGGAGCCAAGACCACCGATGTTCTTGCCCCCTCCATCCCAGCTTTGCCCCCTGGACCGAACGCGTTTGACTATCCAAGTGACGGCGAGCTGCACGCTCCGCTCCCAGCACCATACACGCCTTCCGGCGGTGTGGGAACGAACGGATCCGCCCCTGTGTATCGCGTGCTCTCCGACTTTGACTACGAGTCCATTGCCCTGGCACTCTACCAAGAATGGATCGAGCTCGATCTCTTTCACTGGGGCCTTGCGACCTTTTCTGAAGAGGAGTTCGAGGAGGCTGGTCTGAAGGCTGAGGACCGCTACCTTCTCCAGTTCATGGCTGAGCAAGAAGTAGGCCATGCCACTCTTCTCAGCAACATGCTCGGCCCCTCTGCTCCAGTCCAGTGCAGCTACAACTACCCAGTCACCAATGTCCGCGAGTACATTGACTTTTCCCAGAAGCTGACCCGGTACGGCGAAGCTGGTGTCTACGGCTTCCTCAACCACCTCAATGCTCATGATGTGGGACAGATGCTCCTTCAGAGCATCACCACCGAGGCCCGTCAGCAGATGATCTTCCGCCAGTTTGAGGGCTTGTTCCCCATGCCCGAGTGGTTCCAGGTCGGCATCCCCCAGTCCTGGGCCTGGACCTTGCTGGCGCCTTACATCTCATCCTGTCCCGCCAACCAGACCCGCCTGGTCTGGCAGAACTTCCCTGCCCTTCACATCCTCAACCAGCCCAACCCCGCTCGCATCAATGGCTCCAACGCCTGGAATGAGACCACTGGCGGCTACACCAACACCCTCAGCACTGCCGACATTGAGGAGGACGAGGACTGCATCAACAGCACTGAGGAGGGCGTGAACTGCTCCCCTGGCATCACCAACAACCGCACCAACCCTCTCTCCTACCCAGGCCGTCAGGTCTTCCTCCAGTGGGACGAGCCTGGTTTCCCTGTCGGCCCCAACAACAGCTACATCACAAGCACGAGTGCCAACCCGCCTGTCTTTGCCGCTTGGGTCAGTCAGCTCAACGTCACTTACACTCCCCTGGAGGAGATCCAGAACAACACCGCCTGGACTGTGCAGCCCAACATGGAGACGTTTGCTGGTGATCCGGCTGTCAACGGTACCATATTTTTGGTCTTGACAGACTTGGATCTTTATGTTACTCCTTACAACCTTACCCAGCTGAACCCTCATGTGTATGCTGTGGGTATGTACCAGTCTGGTTAAGATATTGAAACACGGTGAATGTGTCGACAGTGTGGATGGACACTGCTGCCAGGCAGTGTTGCAATTATTGTTTTTGTTCTTATATACCTCTCCTTTTTAGTAATTAATTTATCTCAACATATTCTCCATGGCCCGCTTCATTGCTTTTGCAAAGTTGGGAGACCGAGTCTTGTTCAGCATAAACAGGGACGGGTGATTGTGTACCTAGGTACTTTTAGTAAAGGTAGACCGTTCAATGGGTAAGCCTCATACTGTGTCCCGTAGCATTGACCCCTGGATACGAACCGCTAACGTCATCCTGAACATGGCTCTTCTTTACGCCGGTGCGACGACCGGATGATCACTCCATCGCGGAGTCATGACAACGGAGGTATTGTGGATGGACACAGCGAGTGAGCTGGACACCTCTCCTCCTCCTCTGCACCCCCCAAATGGTCCGAGTAATGAGTGGCTTGTAAGGTCTAGAACTCTCTACCAAAGCTTTCTCTCATGAAGCATATGCTAAGACGATCTCGTCACCTCCCGCCGACTCTCATCTTGCGGTACGGCTGTATCCGGCCATCGTCAACATCCTTGAAGATGTCTACCGCCTTGGTTTGTGACTTTAAACATCTGGCACGCGGTGATGTCGCGCTGGTCGGCGGGAAAATCTCGTCCTTGGGCGAGATGATCAGCCGTCTCGCAAGCCAGGGCATTCCCGTGCCGCCTGGGTTTGCGACCACCTCTCACGCCTACTGGCAGTACGTTGACGCTAACGGGATCCGAGAGAAAATTGGTAGTTTGTTGGCGGAATGGCAGGCCGGGCGCGAGACCCTTGCCGAGACGGGCTGGGCAGTCCGTCGATTGTTCATCCGCGGCGAGTGGCCGGCTGATGCGGCGGCCGCCATCACCACCGCCTACAAGAAGCTCTCGGCCGAGGCTCGGATTGATAACCTGCCTGTTGCCGTCCGGTCCAGCGCGACGGCTGAGGATCTTCCTGACGCTAGCTTTGCCGGCCAGCTGGAGTCGTACTTGAACATTACTGGCGAAGACCGACTTCTGGACGCCTGTCGCCGATGCTGTGCCACGCTGTTTACCGACTGAGCCATTAGCTACCACCAGACCAAGGGATTTGACCACACCAGCATTGCCCTCTCAGTCGGTGTGCAGCAAATGGTCCGCTCGGATGCCGGTGGTTCTGGCGTCATGTTTTCCATCGACACGGAGAGCGGGTTCGACAAAGTCGTGCTCATCAACGCGGCCTGGGGTCTTGGGGAGAAGATTGTGCAAGGAACCGTAAACCCGGACGAGTATCAAGTCTTCAAGCCGCTTGTGAACGACACCGGTCTGGTCCCCATCATCCAGAAGAAGCTAGGCGGCAAGGCGACCAAGATGGTCCTTGGACGGAGTCGCCACCAGCCCACTCGCAATGTTCCCACCTCCAAAGCCGAGCGCGCGGCGTTTGTTCTCACCGACGACGAGATTCTCGCGCTGGCACGCTTGGCTTGCACCATTGAGAAGCACTACGGCTGTGGGATGGACATGGAATGGGCCAAGGATGGCATCACAGGCGAGCTGTTCATCGTCCAGGCCCGACCCGAGACGGTGCACTCCCGTCAGGACCCTGCCGTCCTCAAAACGTACAGTGTCAAAAAGAAGGGGCGTGCTCTAGCCACGGGTCTGTCGATCGGTGATGCCGCGGTGGCAGGCCACCTCTGTCTCATCGAAGACGCCAAAGACATCGACAGGTTCATCGACGGCTCCATCCTGGTGACGGTGGCAACCGACCCAGACTGGGTGCCCATCATGAAGCGCGCGGCAGCCATCATCACAGACCACGGCGGCCGCACCTCCCACGCCGCCATCGTCAGCCGCGAGCTTGGCGTCCCGGCCGTGGTGGGCACAGGCGACGCCACCTACGTGCTGCACACCGACCAGGAAGTCACCGTCTCGTGCGCCGAAGGCGACGTCGGTTTTGTCTACGAGGGCGTTTCCGACATCACCACCACAACAGTCGACCTCACCGACCTCCCGCCCGTCCGGACAAACATCATACCCAATCTTGCCAACCCCTCCGCGGCATACCGCTGGTGGCGCCTCCCCGCCGACGGCATCGGCCTGGCAAGGATGGAGTTTGTCGTCTCCAACGCCATAGAGGTCCACCCCATGGCGCTGGTACATTTTGACAGGCTCAAGGACGAGAAGGTCCAAGGCCAAATCGTCAAGCTGACGGTTGGGTACCCCCACAAACCGGATTACTTTGTCGACAAGCTCGCCCACGGCCTGGCGGCCTCTGCGCGACTTTTTTCCCCAGACCGACCATCATCCGGCTCAGCGATTTCAAGACAAACGTGTACGCGGGCCTGATCGGCGGCGCTGAGTTTGAGCCTTTGGGAGAAAACCCCATGCTTGGCTTCCGCGGCGCGTCGAGGGACTACTCCCCGCGCTACCGCGACGGTTTCGCGCTCGAGTGCCGGGCCATCAAGCAGCTGCGCGAGGTGATGGGGTTCACCAACGCGGTGGTGATGGTGCCGTTCTGCCGGACGGTGGACGAGGCGAAGAAGGTGCTGGATGTCATGGCGGAGAATGGGCTGCGGTGCGGGGAGGGAGGGCTGAAGGTTTATGTCATGTGCGAGATACCGTCGAATGTTATCTTGGCCGAGAGGTTCACGGAGCATTTTGACGGGTTTTCCATCGGGTCGAATGACTTGACGCAGTTGACTTTGGGGGTGGACAGGGACTCGGGGTTGTTGGCTGATTTGTTTGATGAGCAGGATGAGGCGGTCAAGTGGATGATTGCGAGGGTGATCCGGGTGGCGAGGGAGAGGGGGTCAAAGGTGGGCATTTGTGAGCAGGCGCCGAGTGATCACCCAGAGTTTGCGAGGTTTTTGGTCCAGGCTGGGATTGATTCCATTTCGGTGATTCCTGACAGCTTTCTTGCTGTTAAGAGACATGTAGTTGATAGTGAAAGCCCTGAGCATTCCTTGCGTAGGTATGTATGTAAAACATGTATATACAGCTCATCTCCTCACTTCTTATCCGTAAGCTCTATCGTGCTCTTCAGCCGGTGCGCAGACCTAGCAATGGCGGCATTCTCGTCACTCCCCAGCGGCATCTCAATCGTCTTCATGATCCCCTTCCTCCCCAGAACCACCGGCAGGCTGAAACAGCAATCGAATTCCGGCTGGAAATGGCTAACGGGTCTTACCTCCCTCTTGTCGAAGAGGATCGAAGCGCAGATACTCGCCACAACAGACCCAGTCCCAAACGGCGTGGCCCCCTTGGTCGTGAAGATGGTCTCGGCTCTCTCTTTACACTCTTTTGCAAGCTCCTGATGTCCAGACGTGTCGGGCGAGAGCACCTTGTCGAGGGGGATGCCGTTGATGGTCGCCGACGACCAAGCAACCACCTGACCGTCGCCATGAACGCCCAAAACAAACAGCTGGATCGAGCTGGCGGCCACCCCGGCCTTTTCCGCCAGCAAACCCCGGATCCGGACCGACTCGAGGAACGTCCCGGAGCCAAAGACCTGGAACTTGGGCAGCCCGGCAAGCTCTTGAGCAATCGAGGTGAGGAGATCGACCGGGTTGGAGACGACGAGGACGATGGCGTCTGAACGGAAGGGCGTCATGGCCTTGACCACGTTCCGGATCGCCGAGGCGTTGCGGTGCATATGCTGGATGCTGGTTTCGCCTATGATTTGTTTAACAAAGGAACACAAACCGGGTTGGTTCTTTTTTTTTTTGGTTTGGAATGTTTCCTTACCAAACCCATATCTCGACCCTGCAGTGATCATCACAATGTCGCACTGCCCTGCCTCGTGGTGCGTAGCTACACGGACACGCATGCCGGCGCCGGTGGCGTAGGCGACGTCGGAGAGGTCGCGGACCTGGGCGTCTCGAAGGTCTACCTTGACATCGACCAGGATGAGCGCGTAGGCGACCGCGCCGCCGACCTAGCCGGCGCCGACGATGGCGATCCGGGTGGACGGGCTGGTGGTTTCGGGGGGCATTGCTAACAAACAGGTAGGTAGTCATCAAACTCGCAAGAGGTTGGGTGGACGAGATGTTTCTCTGGGGCTTGTTTTGGGCACTTCCATTGGTTGGTGATGACACCGGCGGGTGACCTCACCATGACCTCTGACAGGGACTGAGGATGGAAAAGGGGTCTTGTTGCGCACGATCAATCTTTCGTAGGACCGACGTCATGCCTGATCAGGACCACAGATTCTCGTCAAGAGCAAAAATGGTGTGATATTTGACCGGAGCTTCCTTCTGTTGAGAGCTAGTTCCAACAAACGACGGGAGATTAACCTCTCCACCCCAACCCCAACCTGCTACAAGACCCCCTTTACAAAACCAAAACCAACCCAAAACCTCATCACCCACCATGATCCCCTTTATCACTCCCCCTCCCTACTCGGTAACCAACCCAACCAACCCCACCCTCGGCCCCGTCCCCAACCCCCCCCTCCTCAT